TACCCTTGCACAGCTTGCTTCTGCCCTAGCTAATGAGGTAGTATGGTATTGCAGTTGGTACTTTTGCCCAGTTCAAGATTTAATCCCTATTACAAACACAAAAGGAAGATATTTGACCTCACTTGTCCTCAAATTAGTCTAATTTGCCTAGATTGTGAAGTGTTAGTGATGTGTATTTAATGAGAATTCTTTTTGCATGTTTATTATCCAGTGACATTTAGGAGGTCAGCCTGATAATTCAGTTGCAGCCTGCATGTCTTGCTACTGTATTCAGTGTAATAGAAAATGTTATGTGACACAGATCATTTTACATATAGGTAACCATAGAATGCGAGTTCATACACGATCCCATAAAAACTACATGGAGAGCAAGGTAGACCCCGATATCCAATGGAAAGCGGGGGAACCCAAGCTAAACAGAACAGAGGGATTTTCCTTTCTTGATATTTTGAGAGATGCTCATGTATCACATATAAATTAGTTCCACTGGCTGTTTCTCAGGCTAGCATGCAACAAGCCATTCAATTCTGACAGAGCCAAACTAAGGCCCTTATCTACAATTAACCAGAAACTCAGCTCACAGCCAGTCCAAATCGAGGCCTTCCAGTACATTACAGTTCATTACACTCAATTAACAGTGTGTCCATTTGCTTTCCTGACTCTTATACTTAAAAAAAAAAAATCTATCTTCTGCTCCCCAGTTTCCACAGAAACTTTAATACCCTCCCCTGTGGTCTCCTGCCTCAGCACAGGTTGCTACAGCTCAGCCTGGTGCATAATGGAAGCATTCCTCTCCACCCTTCCTAGGGTATTCCAAGCATAATGAATTGCAACTCCTTGCTTCACATACTGCTCTTTATTCCATTTAAAGCTTTCACTTCACAGCTTTGTGGATAAAGATCAAACAAATAAAAGCAAATCTGGAAGCTGCCATTTCTGATCCACGTTCACCTCAGAAGTTGAACTAAAAAATTTCCCCCAGGCCACTATACAGACACTCACTTTGGACACTTTGATAGATATATGCAGTTGCCCCCCAGAAGGTCAGTATGAAGATACTTGTTATTTCACCAATTCATTGGTTGATAGTCTCGCAACTACAGCACTGAACTGAAATGCAAGAGCTTTAGATTTTATTTTTAATGCTCCAATTCACAGCCCCCTATTATGTTCTCAAGTCAGTCATTACTCCTGCTAACCACTTGTCTGTCTTGTCCATTTTAACTATCATCTTTTGAGGGACAGATACGCACAGACTTCTAGCTCTTGCTCACGGGAACCCCTAATATTCCCCACTGTCCCTCTACCAAGTTAAAGTCGGGAACAATTCTGAACATATAAAAGCACTGTATGACTTGCTCACTCTGCATTTTTCCTTAAAACAATAAATTTATTTGGTATATTAGTTTTTGAACTGAATGCTAAATACTATTTTCATTTAGAACCATGCAGACAACTCTTGCTTATCTGACAGTATTAAAAACTGTCAACTTAGCAATAAAACTTTGCCTGGTGTTCAAGTAACACGTTTTCAGTTTCTGCTTTACGTGATCTGTCTTCACCATAAACAGCGGGTTCTTTGAATCTCATGAAAACACAGTGCTGAATACAGCAGCTTAGATATTACAGATAATTTTCTATTTGAATAGCTAACATTTCTGACACATCAGACTCATTTTCTGTCACGGAGGATATGCTCACTTATATGAACAATCTGCATCAAGTATCATTTCAGTCTACACATTCCTAAATATGGATTTTCCATTCACAACTGGTTTGTCATATGGAACTGACATTTATTTTAGCAAGTTCATGTTTCAGCTCTACTATAAGATGCAAAGAATCACATTTTTCCCTGTGCATGCGTGACTGGGACACAACTGAAATCAGCAAGACCCCTGTAGGCACAACTGAAAGCAGCATTTTCTCTCTCATGTATTGGAATACAATACATAAAAGCCCTATCTTAACTATGCTGAACATATTGGGAAGATTTCTATTACAAAGAAAACAGAATTAGATCCCAATTAATGAAATACATTGGCTAGGATCATGCTATCAGCTTTTCAGTAGAGCTTTCCAACTATTACAAGGGAGAGTGTTTTGGAATGGCTGATGACAGATCAGCTTTGGGGCACGTTTTGAGGGGAAGTTGCATTTGAGAACACTTCTGCTTTTATATCAAGGAAACCTTCCCATGTACAATGAAGAGGCTTACAAATTATGAATAGCTCAGAATAAATGCATCGGTAGGCATATTTTTATGCAAGTATTTATCTACAGATGTTTTACAAAGCTCAGAATAAGATATCTAGGCACTTATGTTATTATGCATATATATTATTCATTTAGCAACACAAGCTTGGGCTGCGAAATTTCATACACCTTAGACAGACAAGACTTAGACCAAGACCATACTCTATGAAAAGACAGGTATGATACTGTCATGAAGAGGCAGACACAAAACAGAGCTTCTAATTTCAACAGGAAAAAAGAGGAAAAAAAGAAAAAATTTTATTAAAAATATATTCTTTATGAAGAAAACTGATTAGAGAACCTAATACAGCTTTAAAGAATATAATTTTAAAGTACAAATGAGAAAGGCTGAAGCTAAATGCTTTTTTAAATAAGTTTTCAAATAAGTTTAGTGCTTGTCATTGCAGTGGATACAGCAGTCTCTATTTCTTTACAAAAGCAGGCAGAGCACTGTAAGTCCCAGTCACTCAGGCTTCCATATTAGTACTTTACACATGTCTTTATTCTGGGCAGGGAAGGACACCTTATGACCAGGTGAGATCTAGTTCATTTCTTGTTGCTATACCAAGCAGCCTCACTCTGCTTCAAACTGTGTGATCAGCATCTCTAAAATGCACAGGTCCCAGGGACAGTGAGACCAGCCACCCTCTGCTTCACAAAAGCTACCAAAGAGCCATCTCCTGATAAGAGCTCCTGGTCTAGAAGGCATTTGAATCAGAAACTTGGAGGACTGAGTCTTCAGAGGCTGCTAACCTGAGCAATGCTCTGGCTGACCTTTCATGGGTGGACACCTACGGACAGCTCCAAATTGCCAGGCTTGTAAACTACAACAGACCAGAGCAGAAGCCTGTTACAATGGGAGTCTTGATCCAAGCAGAGTATAAGGACATCTTCAAGAGAGGGCAGTATCAAAGAACACCAAGTGTGTTGCCCTCCTCCTGTTCGCGTGAAAAAAGCCGCTGTGTTTTAGACCTTACTACCTAAACATCACAAGCAACAAGAGCCTCAAGCTCTCTGCAGCAAATTTAACTTTCTCTCTGAAAGACGAAAGGCCACAGAGTGGCAGTGTTCACTGATGCTGGTGTACATGACAGCTGCTACAGCAGGAAATTCTCTTTTTGTCCATTTTGCAGACCTCTCATAAGCACCATTCCCCATTTGGAGATCCCCACAACATACTTTGCAGAAGTCCAGTATCTTTTTCACTGATTTAAATCTCTCCGTTATCTCTACACCTTGCCACAGTGCTCATGTTCTATTTTCAGAATTTAATCCAGCCTGAAAAACGACATAGCAGTGACAAATCAAATCACAGAAATGTAAAAAATTAGGATAGACAGCAGTTTAGATGAGCTGGGCAGGGGGCCCTGCCCTAACAGACAGCTCTGCCACGCTCTCCTGGCTGCACACACTCGCATCCATCTGTAACGATGGAACTGAGCCCACTACAGCCCCATCGTTCTGCTTCTAGTTTAAGCGCATGGTGCAGGCTTTGGTTTCAGTAAGCAGCCTGCGTAGCACTGTGAATCCTAAATGTAACTTCTGTTGTCTGTATGGAAAATATTGCAAAACTTCTCATTGCTCTGTAACTCACGACTCCAAAGACAACAACAGATCCTTTAAACAGGAAAGGGACACTGGATGAGCATCACCACGTTAATTTCTGATGGTCAAGCAAACCAAACTGAGCTTTTTTGTGTGCCCACAGACACCTGCAATTATACCTCAGTAATTATCATTTTATCCTTCGTTAGATATCAGTCAATACACACCTCATATTCCTAGGAATGATATGCAGTAAAAAATAGCATTCATATGCTACCACATGATAAATAAATTCCTCAAAAACAGTGGTGTTTAGCCAAAGAAAAGAGTACATCTGTAAAACACCATTATTTTACAGTAGTTTATATGCAACTGATTTCCATTACGGTGAGCCCAACCCTGCAAACGTTTGGGAAAGCAGGAAGAATTGTGGCAATTCCTGGGTGATCTCAGCCTGCCTCAGAAGACTCTCAGCTTCAGGGTGAGCATAGGGCATTCCCTAAGCACAGGTAGTAACAAAGAAATGTATCCCTTCTTTCATAGGTACCTGCTGTCTAACACGCCTGTGTCAAGGTTAAATGGCAGTGGCCAACAGGAAACCTAAACCACATCAATATCAGCCCTGACTCCCTTTTGATGTTCTTACAATCCAGAATTGCAGGACCCCATGCCCTTTGCACTAGACTCCAGTGTCATTAATGAAAATCAGGATTTACACTTGTCTTTCATGGCTAAGTCAGAATTTAATAATGATGCATTCACATTTTTTTTCTTAGAACAGCATTAACTGAGTTCTGTCAGCCAATCAGTATTACCACGAGACTTACTCTTTACAAACTAGTAGAATAGTATCCCAAATTCTTATAACTTCCACATTTAAAATACAGAGTACATTACACACCACTGGCATTTCATACTACCTCTCCTCCAGAGCTGCATGTGGCTCTGCACGGAGCCACGCACTTGTCCAGAGAGATCAGCTTGCGTAACAACTTGCTGATTTAAATTCTCTGCAGAGCAGCCATGGCATTTTGCTTACTTCGGGTTGCAACTCTTAAATAAAACACCGCTTTCAAGAGCTGCAGAGAGGGCTCTGGATGCGAGGCACCATGCAGAGCCCGCTGGAGAGAACGAAGCTGGCGCCGATGCTGCGGCTGGGAAGGGGTCCCCGCCCCCGCGCCGCCCCGTGCCCGCCCTACCTGACCCGTGCTGCTGGCGCAGGATGGCGGCCTGTCCCGGCGGCGGCGAGGCGGAGGCGGCGCCGCTCCCGGCCGTGGCGGCGGCGGTGGCGCTGGGCCCGGCGGACGGCGGGCGCTTGCCGGGGCCAGGCGGCGGCGTGGCCCGGGCGGCGGGGCCGTGGCGCCGTGGGGCCGCGCCGCTCTGCATGTGCGACACCGCCTCGGCCGCCTGCACGTCGGGGGGCGCAAAGCGCGAGAGGACGCGCAGCAGCGCCTGGGCCTTGTGCTCCTGCGTCTCGTCGTCGCTGTAGTCCGCCACGCGGCACTCGTACACGCCCTCGTCCTGCCGCCGCACGCCCGACAGCCGCAGCCGATGCGAGATGTCGTTGCCCTGCACGCGCACCGTCTGCAAGAGAGGGCACAGCCGCGCGCCTCAGCAACGGTGCCCGCGCGGCGGCCACACCCCAACGGCCGCTGCCCCCTAACGGCCGCGCCCCAACGGCCGCCTCCCCGTAACGGCCACTTCCTCATAACGGCTGTGCCTCAAAGGCCACCTCCTCCTAACGGCCGCGCCCCGCGCAGCGCCGCCCCATAACGGCCGCTGCCAGCCGAGGGCGCCTCGCTGCTCACCCCGCACCCAGCCCGAGCAGCCACCGACACCCCCAGCGCCCCCCTGCAGCTGAACTGCTGCTCTCCCCTTGGCCCCGCTGCCCTTTGCTCCTCTGCCTAGGGCACCAGCAGCCTCGGGGCAGGGGGCAGAGGAACAAGGCAGCCGGGGCCACAGGGGTTTGCAGCCTGGCACGGGGCATGGGCAGGAGAAAGAGACAAAAAAATACTGCCCTGTTCTGAACCATTCCCTAGACAGGGGTGTTAGGCAAACCTCCACTGCAGGGCATGACACATGGTGGCTAAACCATGGTTGCGTTTTGGCTGAGCCGTGGCACCCCGAGGGGGGGAAATATGCCGTGCTCCTGCCATGCTGCCCCCAAGCTGGCTAAGGTCCCGTACTGAGGAGCTGGGGACACAGTAATGTATGGGCACCACGCCGCTTACGCTGCACTTACACTGATTTTAGTTGCATCCTTATTTGTTACCTAAAGGGACAGAAAAGGAAAGATGTTAGACCCAAGCCTGCCAGTACCTCAGTGTGACACCCGCCCTCCCACCACTTCCCAGTGGGACGTGGCTGGGCACCTGCACCACGTCCCTGCCCCTTGGGAGGGCAGCTGCCTCCTGCTCAACACTGCTCTGCTGATGCTGGACTGCACTCCTGCAGGCTACCAGCAGTGCTGCCCTAGCCAACGAGATGGACCGTGGGCCGACACTGACGTTGCTCATATTCAGCCACCTGCAGCAGCAGCAGCACACTGTGAGGTGCTGGGCAAGCAGGATCCCGCGCTGTTCAAGGCAAAGCCCCGCTCTGAGACCCCCTGGCAGCACGTCCACTCGCCCATGTGCGGACTTGACTGTTTCTTCTGTCTACAGCCAACTGCTGTAAAACTCAGTGATGCCTCAGATCTTGCCGAAGCGCCTCCCTCAAGAGACGGCCATCCGTCTCCCCGCCAGCCCTGCCATCATTTATTGTGAACGCAACTCACGGCTTTTTTATAAGGTTAAAGAAGACATTTAAATCCAAGCGATTTATTTCCCTGTCTGACAACTGACTTACACTTTCCCCAGCTAGGCGGCATCCCATTAGCTCAGTGCCTGTATGCTCTGCATCTCTATTTGAGCGCTGCGGGAAAACAAGCCCGCCACAGAGAGGGGACCTGGCACAGGCGCGAGGCTCCTGCCGGCAGCAGCCTGCAGGCTCGCTGCCTGGAGAAGGCGACGTGGTCCTGGCTGCAGGAAGGCACATCCACAGCTCTCACTTTGCCCAGCTCAGGGGGTTGCATGGCCCCTTACTGGGGCAAAGGGGCTGCAGAATGAACTGGTGAGACAGAGAATCACAGCTGGAAAAGAAGCTAAGTTATAGCCTGCCCTCGAGCTGGGCTGCCTTCTTGCGGGAGGAGAGAGGACACGCAAGATTTAGCTCTGCTTCATGCATTTTAATTACTGTAGCTAACTGTTAAAATGTTCTGCAGAGCTCCAGCTATGGCCCAGGTGTGTACCAGCTCCCCAGGAAGCTTCAGGTTTGCACACACAGACCGATACGGCTGTGATGTATCAGGGATCGGTGTCTCCCTTAGCAGTGTATCCCTCACTGCTCCAGCTGCTCCCTTAGTCTCCTGCATTTCACTGACTCCCAGCTCAGCCCAGCACAGCGCTAGTTTCTGCTGATCCCCACTTTATAATACAGTTATTTTTGACCACCTCTCTAGATCCTGATGGCCAATCTTGCAGTGCAATACTTATCATTTTCTATTTAAAATCCTTCAAGTGCTGCTGTTTCTCTCCTGGGGTGAAAGGGAGAATCTGGGGAAAGCCTGGGAAGCTCCATCTGCCCACTCAGATCCTGGATATATCGCAGCAAAGGTGCCCCTCCTCTATGGGCACTGCAGGCTCTTTTCAAACACCCCATGAACACACATGTTTTTCTGGCACTTCATTACCTTGCTCCTGCTGCCAGGGACACTGACAGCTAATTCGTGTGCAAGTTCTCTGGCTGGTTCTTTAAGGTACCACCACTGGATTTCCAAGGAGTAAGAGGTTGCTCCGCTGGCTCGGAAAGCACAAGGCATCTCAATATCATCTCCCTCCCTAACAGTCACATCTTTGGGAACTTCAGTAAAGGTAGCTGAGAGGAGAAGACAAGAGTTATAAGGGCTGGATAGCGGGAGAGAATAAGAGACAAGACCCGTCCTTTTTGGTGCAATCTCATCTGCTCCAACTGGGGGGCTAAGCACTGACTGCGACACGCAGTTCTTGCCCGGCGGTGGCACAGCACGAGCCATGCACCCAGCACCAGATCCCCAGGGTGATGGGTCCTGCTCTCCCACACAAGCAACTGCCACAGAGCCAGCATTTGAGGAGGGTCTTCGTGCCCCATCTGTGCTCCCGAGAAAGCCCCAAGCAGCGCATCAGGAACAAGTGTCCCCTTCCCTCCTTGGTGTCCCTTCTCCTGACAGCTGCAGGATGCAATCCCACCAGGAGCTCACGGGATGTGGGGCTCAGGGTGCAGGGTGCTGGCAGCTCCCGCAGCCTGGTGCTGCGGCAGAGTGAATCCCTGCAAGTTGAGCATCCTCAGCCCACCGCGAACATCTGCAGCAACAACAGTGCAACCTTGTTCGCACAGAGCCCTCCCTGGGCAGCGCTCCCTGCCCCCAGCCATAAAGCACTGCCACAGGAAGGACAGCCAGCGAGGGGGGGATTCAGGCATCGCCAGGAATTTTCAACTGAGGTGATGCTGGCAGGGTCACATCCAAACCTACAGCGTGGTACATGGCTAGGGGAGATGCTGGGGGCTCAGGGAACCCCTTTAACCAGGAGAGAGCTGGGTACCAGCCTTCCCTGCCCACCCGGCAGTTCCCACCTGACCCAAGTTTGCCCGAATTCCTTCTGCAAGCTCTGTTTGCAACTGCTAGTTACTAGCGGGGGAGAGGCAAAAGTTTGGTACTCACCATTCACAACGAGCAGCAGAGGTGCGTTGAACATCAGGTAACAGAGAGTGCAGAACAGCCCTCGATTTTCCATTTCACATACGTGGGCTTTAGAGTGAAGGGCGAGTGGAGAACCGAGCGCACTCAAAAAAACAGCTAAGAATTCGTCAATCCCATGGCGAGTGGCAGGCGCGTGTCTGACACGGCTCCGAGGTTAGGGCTCCCTCCAGCAAAGCCAAAGCCACCCGGCCGAGCGCTGCTTCCGCGGCGAAACCAACACGGGCTCCAGCTCGCGAGCCGGGCGCCGGGCGGGCGCCCCTGCCGCTCCGGCACTGGCTGTGGCCGCGGCGCCCCTGCGGCTGCCCGGGCAGCACCATTCACCCGCCCCGCGCCTCGCCGCCTGGCCGGCCGCCCCGAAGCGCGGCGGCGCCGCCGGGCTCCTCGCCGAGCCCCATGGCAGTGAGGAGTCGCGCTGAG